ATGTTGTATTTATAGAGTTTGCAAATAAAGGAGTAACCACTGCATGTAGGGGTGGAAAAACGGGCTCGGCCTATTGGGCATATGCCCGTTTTTCCCGCACTTTAGTGTGGGGTAGGAAAAGGGTTTAAGCCCTCACCCTTTAATGTCTCCGCCCCACCCGCTCCGTTTTTTCGCAAGCTTTTGCAAGCACGGGCATTTACATAATTTTTTTTGTTTTAAACTTAAATGGTGTCACACCCTCATTTTCACCATTAGTCTTTCATATCCTACATTCATCATATCATACATTGTTCTAGTGCATATCGAGCATGTGGGTTTACAAGGTAAGGATGAGTTGGTTTTTTGTTGTTCGTTTCAAATAAGAAAAGTTGCCTATCATGGGCTACATTGAAGAAAGGTTCATCATCTAAGGTTTTATTCAAGTTGGAAAGACTACTCATGTAGATTTCTTCAAGGAGAAGTTAATTGAAAAATATTGAGGTATTCAAGGTCAATGTTCCTAATGAACATGAATTGCAAGGCCTAATTCAAGATTTCTTCATCCAACTTTGTTTCAAATTCTATGTTCAAGTGGAATTCAAAAGATCACAAGTTCATAATTCAAGACTTCATCCATTTCAAATTTAATGGTATAAGGGAAATCTATCATTCCAAATTCAAGATTCATGAATTCAAGATTAGATTCAAGGATATTACAAAAGGAAATTTCATGACATTTGCAAGAATGTCACATTTGTCACAAAGTTTCCAAATCTAAGTAATCTTAGAAAATTAAGCTACTTCTAATCTTAAGTCAAGTTTCTAATCAACTTCATGCTATGGTACCCTTCATACCTCATCAAATCTCCATGTGCTACATTAAGCCTTCATATAATTCACAACCAAATAAGCCCACAAACATCCAAGGAAAATAATTAAGGTTTAATTCAATATTGGAACATCTCAAAATCAAGACCACTTATGCTTATCCATGGGCAATTTCAAGATATTTTCAAGTTAGTCCAAAACAGCCCCATACATGTCCCAAGCAAGAAATGACAAACTAACTCACAACCAAACAAACCATACATATCAAAAACCAGAATTTCAAAATTCTGTCAAGGGTAGAGACATGGACCACAATGACAGCTCAAGAACAAGCAAACAAATGAGAGCAATGCAAAAAGGGCAGCAGAAAAAATAGCACTAGGAAAGTGCAGCAGCAAATGCAGAAAAAGCAGCATTCTAGAAATGAAAAGAAATGGGGTTGCACCAAGAAAGTAGCAATAAGCATTTCCAAGTATAGAAATTCTGAAACTTGAAACATGTGCAAACTCTAATACTTTGGTACAACAACAAAAGATGCAGAAAAACAGGTTTTCTAGAAATGGAAAGAAAAGAGGTGCATCAAGAAAGTGGCAGTAGACATTTCTAAGGGTAGAAGTTCTGAAGTTTGAAAACATGTGCAAACCCTAATGCTTTGGCTATAAAAGGGAAGCAGCAACAGTAGGAAAAGGAAGCCCAATTGGAGAGAAAGAGAAGGCCACATTGAGAACAAGAGATATTGAGAAAACCAGAAAAATAAGAGAGAAAAAAGTGACATTGAGAACAAGAGAGCTTAGAGATAAAAACAGAAAAAGAAAGGTAGAAACACAGAGGAAAACCTGAGGAAGACACATCCAACAAAGGACATTGGTGGCTAGGAGGAGAGTAGAAGTTCTGGGGTATCCATCTCTCTAAACCTTTCTCTTTTACATTTTCATATTTTTGCATGCTTGATTTATTTGTTGTTTTTTATCATTGTTAGTTAGGATAACATTTGTTGATGTATATATTGTAATGAGGTCTAAAAAATGACCTATGTTGTAAAAGAAAGCAAAAGAAAAGAGAGAAACAAGAGTGAGTTTTATGGTGGAATAGTTTAAAAAAACACTCAAAAATACCGTCATGTTCGCTTGCAAGTCTGCACAGTGAACTTTGGCACCTTTCGCCTCTGTGTCTGTAAAAAATGCGTATTCTGGGCAAATTCGACATGAAGTTCGCACAACAAACTTCTTAATGTTTTTTCTGGGCAGATTCGCTGGCAAGTTCGCACAACGAACTTTGGCCCCTTTCGCCTCTGTTTGTGGATAGTGTGTATCTGGGCAGATTCGCTAGGAAGTTCACACGGCGAACTTAGTGATGTTTTTTTGGGAAAATTCAGCATTAAGTTCGCACAGCTAACTTCTTGCCCTTTTTTTTCCAGCTTTTTGTTTTTTCTTGCTTTTATGCTTTACTTTTGCTATTTTCTTGTTTTCCTTAAAAAAAATTTGGTGTTTCAAATTCTTTTAGGTGAAAAGATAAAAAAAATGATAATATAAAAAAAAGGAAAATAGTTTATTATTTATATTTATTGATTAAAATATTAATTAATTAAATATCCATGCTTAGTTTAATTTAATAATTTGGAGGTACAACTTTGTGAAATTTAACTTGTGTCCTCAAACCAACTAACTTGACCTTGTCTTATATTTCATTGTATGTTTATATTAATAATGTCATTCCGACTTGTGTTGCCAAAACCCTTTTTCAAAATAAACTCTCGATTCTTATCGAGCCACTTTTGACCTTGTAAGTCGATTGTCTTGTGCATCGCCATCATCCTTGTTCGCATCACCTCAAACCCTTTTTTAGCAAGCAATAAAACCTTTGACCCAACATCAAGTGGTACTTTTCTCAAAAAATGCAAAAACACAATAAAGATACGATTAGGTTTATACGCCATGGGCTTTAAAGTGGTGGAGAAGGAATGAGAATGCAACCCCTCCCTACACTCATTCCGAATATTTTGAATACAAGGTGCTCGACTTGGATATTCGAGATATTCATCTCTACCCAAAGTCTTTAGTGTGATCCCAATCAAGAACAATTTCTTCTCAAAAATCCTAAAAAACATCAAACTCATTTTCGCCTTAGGGAATCAATCCGAAAACCCTTTTTCAAGGTATAAAATCAACCGACATACAACCATTTCACAAGCCTCCGAACTAGGGAGCTCTGATTCTTCACTTCTTTTAAGTGAGGATACGTAGGCACAAGGGCCACAATCCTTGGCGAGCACTCTAATAAAAAAAACCAACCCCTCTCTCCCTTAAGCAAGTAAACTTTTAAAATTAAAAACACCCATTCAAGCTAAACGATTTAGAAGGTTCCCATCGAGTATGATGGATGTGAGGGGGTGCTAATACATTTCCCTCACATAACCGACTTTCGAACCCTAAAACTTGGTTGCGGTGACCATGCTTTTTTCCTAAAGGTTTTATCGCTATTTCCCTTTCCCTCCTTGGGATAAATAAAATCCAGTGGCGACTCCGTGTCATTTTTCGCGTAGCGACAAATAGTGCAGTGTCCGCAAACTTTCTCCGCTCCGCCTTCATTTTTTTATGGGGCGGACCTAGGTTTCAGACTCATATCCTTAACTATATTTACCCTATCTCGTCCTGTTTTTTGCAGAGTGAGACTGAATAGGACTAGTATGCCCATTTGCCACTCCTAAACACATGTTTTTAGTGGATACATGCATGCGTCACTTGCAGTAGCGACACATACATACATGTGCCAACCGACGCTTATGTATAACAAACAATAGCATACGCCAACATGATTGATTACTTCTTTTTTGTCTACTAGAAACATGATTACTTTATAAATAATTTGAAACAAAAATTATTTTAGTATTTAATTTTAAAAAGGGATTATTTATAAAAAAAAATTCTCATTTCTTACCTGTAAGAGCGTTTATATAGTAGCACAAGTTTCCGAATATAGATAGCACATCCCTGTCAAATATAAATGAGCAATTGGTTTCTCATAAATAATTTTAGCAACCAAATAATAATTTTATGGTGTGTATATAATGTTCCATAAAAGCCAAACTTATCCCAAAAAATTGAAAGCTATGTCCAAAAATGAGTAATAAAATTAATAAGAAAAAAGCCAAATTTCTATTGTGTTTTTAGGACAAGGTGAATGAGAACTTTATTCTAGAACATATAGTCAATTATCAAATTGTGTACTATGTTAAATAAAACAAAATCTATGTCATATGTGATTATATTATAGTATGCGAAGCAAAAGTATTATTTATAGATAATTGTTTTTATTTCTGTATTTTCTTATAAACATTAAAATACTTATGTTTGATCCCAAAACGTACAACTTTGTATTTATATAATATTCTAGAATATAACACTGCTTTTAAAAAATTAGAAATGTTTTCGGAATTAGTTTTATACATTTTATTAAACGTACATTCATTTTTTAAAAAAAAAATGGTATTGATTTTATTAAAATTTTAATTATTATTATTTTTTTATTATTTTAAAATAGAAAAGTTTTCAAATATGTCTGAATTAACATAATCTATTAATTTAATCAATATTTTTCCTCTTTGCCTAAATATTAAATAATAACAATCTTATCAAGAGAAACTAGTTTGATGAATTAAAATAATAATATAAAATTTAAATATGAAAAGGATCATAACAAAATATATAATGGATACATTTGGCCAATTTATTATTATTTTATTTTTCTTCTTAAAGAAAACACTTTTTTATATTGTATTTTAAAATAGCGATGGGTGACAAATTTTGATTTTAAAATAGCATTGTTATATAAGAAAAATATACAATTATATTGGGAAATCTACTCATCTCTTCAAACCAAGATAAGGAAGAGAAAAACAAATTGAAATTTTGCTTCAAATAATTAAAATTTATAAACCATTTATACCTCCTCTTACATAGTAATTACATACCAAAAACACAAGGATTAAATTAAATGGAATGGCCATCAAAATCCCAAATTGACCATATACCTAACCTAACTTTTTTTTTCCTTCCATTTTCTTTCTAACATTCTCAACTTCTTATCACAAGTTACCACCTTTTTACTCAAACAATTTCCCATTTAAATAATCAACATAAACGGTGGCAACATGTGATGAGAAGAATTGTAACACACCACAACTAACTAACTATTTACAAATACAAAGGAATCGCTAATCGCGGTGGCTTTATCGGTGGCGGCGGTTTCACAACCGTCACAACAATATTTTCCGGCCGCGAAGGTTCACACGGACACGGCATCGCAATGAATCTCGGCACATCATCTCCCGGCATCATCACCGAATAGCTTTCTCCTTTGCTTTGCTTCAATTCCTAATCAATCCACAAACAAAACACAAAAACATAAGAAAATTTGTAACGATTGAAATTTCTTAGTATGAACTGAAATTAGTGTGAAAATTGAAATGCTTACGGTGGAGTAAGGTTTAGGTTTAGCGGTTGAATCGATTTGAGGGTTTGAATCTGAGAAAGATTGACGGAGGGAACGGAGTTTATCCCAATGGTAGCAACAAGAGAGGATGCCGCTCAAGCTAAAAATGATGATCAAGAGAAGTGCAGTGCCCAAGGGGAAACCGAGGGACGGTCGAGATACGTCCACGTGGGATGGTGAAAGATGATCCTGACTCTCCATTGTGTTTTGTTGATGATTTTGCTTCACCTACACTCATGTGTTTGAGAAACGCAAAGAAGAAAGGGAAGGAAAGAATAACTTTTGAATGTGAATATGGAGAGTATGGAGTGTGTGAAGAGGTATTTATATAGAATGTGGAAATGGAAAATTTGGAGATAGAATAGAAATGAATGAGATTGGTGAGTTACGTGTAAAGATGAATGTGAAGTTGTTCACTATCTTATGTCATGGGAAGTCCTGCCTATAGTACGGAAATATTTGTAGGGCCCATTTTTAGTGTTTGATGTTGAATTTTGGATCGGTGATTGTTGAAAAATTAGGACTTAAGAAAGTGTTGACAGTGTTAAATAATCTTTTTTAAAAAAAAATAAATAAGTTTCTGCCAAATTAATCTGAGATTTTAGATTCAAATTCAGCCTTTAGTATGGTGTTAAATGATTTTTTTTTTCATTTAAAATGAGTCTACCCAATTTTATGCAAAAAAAAATTCGGTTTATATTTAAAAAAAATTAAAAACTACTTGAATGGTGATGTGTTTGCTTGAAATGAAATGCAAGTGATTTTGATTCTTGGGTGTGAAAATTTTAGGAAAAAGTAAGAAGTAAGAAGAAAGAAGAAGAGGAGTGGCAGGCAAGAAACTAGTGGGGGGTATGAACGGTGGTGAGGATAGAATGAAAAAACAAATATGACTATTGGAAAGCATGAAAAGCTGTTTGGTTTGGGGCACTTTATTTTCTTCTCCATATTCTGTCTTTTCCTAACTTCTCAAATCTCACTCTCTCACTCACTCACACATGCTTCTTATTTTTGTTTTGTTTTGTTTATCTTAGTGGTGTCAGAATCGGATATGGCGGGTACATTAATTTAAGATTTAATCATTGAATGCGGTTGTTGTTTGAACCTACCTAACCTTAAAAGGAACACCCAAGTAGTGTATTAAAAAATGAAGGGATAAAAGAGAGTATGGCATGGGTTAGTTGAACTTGCTACAAAGAAGATAGTAGGAGTAATTTAGATAAGCTTTGGCTTTGTAGTGATCAGTCATGTTGCATATCGAGCTGATGCGGTAATGATTCGTCTCTTCTGTCGTGTAACCGATTGTCTTGTTTGTTGGTAATCGCCAATAGATTTTGCCTTTAAAAGAATCGCCAATAGATTTTGAATTCATGAGGCAATTGTGCTTAAAATGGTTAGACTTTTAACTTTTATTTTAAACTTGAAAATATTTTAGTTTTCTTATTTTAAAACTTAGTATTTTTGCTTGTAAAAAGGGAAATTTTAATGTTAGATCAAACATAAAAGAATAAAAGAATGACAATTGAGACAAATTCATTTTTTTTAAAGATTTTATGAGACACAATATTGCTATGTATAATATTGCTATGTATGAATTTTTGTGTGAATCTATGTGTTTCTAGGTATGAAGATTGGGGTAATATGTTGATTTGATTTTGATATTGACAACACTTTTAAGAGAAGTTTTCACCAATCTTGTTGTTTAAGGCTTGTTGGTTTATGTGATTGTCACACTCTAATTTTTGACTCTAAGATTCCACTTTCTTTTTTATTTTCTGTTGTTTTTGTGTGTGGTTATTATCACTAACCAGTTTGCGCAGATGCAGTTTCTTTCAATCAAGCACCACTAAGACACAACCTGCGAATTCTGTTTTAAGGGTCGTGAACGTTTAAGGCTCCCTTATTATCGCTCCTGAATTAAAGATGGTCATTCTATCCCGAGGCGGTTAACAAAAAGATTGGTTAGATTGGTTCGCATTTAGTACTAAAGGGTCGCGTCTTTAGGTGCGCTCATCTTTCGTACAAGAGCTCATATTGGTCAACAATGGACTTATTATATCGAGATTTTGCCAAGTCCCTTTTACACTTCAACTCTATTCATCATCGAAGTTTTTTCAAGACGTTTCCTTTTATGGGCAAAGGCTTACATATTGGATTCCGAAGAACAGTTATTGTGGACCAAAGATTTTAAAGCTTAAATTCGGAGTGTAGGTTTAAGCGATTCTCTTGTTCAACTCGTTCAAAATGGATTAAAACTCTTAACAATTCTATTCATCAAAGGCTAATGCATGTTGGGTTGGGAAGAATTCATTTTAAGTACTTATTTAAAGAAGCAACAACTGAAGTTATACTTTTTCAAATCACTTGAAGTCACAAATCATTTGAAGTCAGACGTTGCTATGTTATTTCATCCAAGGCTTCTCACAATTTATTTTTGTCAAACGCTCGACATACCAAATCGCTTAAATTTAGAGATGTTTGAAAGGAAAGAGCAATAAAAATATTCTGCAAAGATTTTGAATCACCAAGGCCCATTGATTCTCATAAAGCCCATATTACAACAAGATTCACTACATAGTTAGAGCAAGTCTCCTCCTTGTTCAAGTATCCCAACTAAGTTACACCCTTACAAATATACATACACAGTGGAAATTACAGAATTAAACCTATAACAAAGCAAATCATCATTGAAAGACCCTGTAGCCCTCTCTATACAATCAACCAAACAAGCAGAACATGGATTCCTAACTAATTGAATAAAATCCTAGAATCCTCAAAAAGTCCATGATCAAGGACGTTCATGAAAAATAAGCCTCGTATTCACTTTGTATCTGCTTTTACCGCAAAATCTCCAATTCTCAATCGACTGGGCCTGTTTATCAGTAATACAAGAGATTTGTGAAGAAAAATGTCGTCCAGAATGTCTTCAGGGAAATCAAGACCATTAGTTGAGATTCATACCGTCACGGCAATATGCATTGGTCCCTTTCTTGCTTAGAGAATAGCAAAACACGGTACCGCCAGACCATGCATTCAAGATCAGTAGGACTTAAAGCCTCTTCGCTTCAACCAGAACGCGATTCTTCTCCGGGCAAGCTTGCTTAACCGACTGGTGTGGTGTCCCGAGCTTCAATCCATCTTTGTTATAACAACAACATCGCCTTCGACGAAAAATGAAATAAAATGTTAGCAACGGTCACGAGGCATTTCGGTTTACTATGAATAAGGAAAGCTAGAAGATGGGGTGCATTACCTTAACTCAAGACGAGCCCCCGTAGACCCTCCTTAACATTGATGTCGGGAGCCATTGTTTGGTTTATTATCCTGTAAGAAAAAACACCAAGTTACCGCCAGAGTTAACAACTCTCAAGTTGAAAATCAACGAAATAGTAGGAGAATCGTAAACAACCAATAAACGCGTCCGACAACGTCGCAACTACATAAGGTTAACAGAAGGTTGACATGAGTTGTTAACAGAAGGTTGACATGAGTTGTTAACAGAAGTTGTTAACAGGAGTTGTTAGTAGAAGTTGTTTCCATTAATTAAATATCAGTTAGACAAGGCTTACAATAATGCATAAAAACAGAGCCAGTAGCATTCCTCATGGCGGTTCTTTTTCTTGGGATCACAACAACACTTACAAGTGCTTTGGCAATAAGAAAACTCTAAGTTTGCTCCATTTAGCAGCAGTAACGTGACGGTGATTGGACTTACCAAGGTACGCATGCCTTGAACTAACCTGCAGCAGAATCGACGTTAGCTGGCAATCAACCTTTCTTTGATTTGAGTATGGGTTCAAACATTCATAGCTAATCATAACAGACTTGCTGCATAGTCTTTCTGTTAAACGCCACTCAATGCAAGGACAACCACTTAGGAGCTGGGGATATATCCAAACCCGTTCCAGAAATGATATCTTCACCTGCAAACGCAAAACCTCACAGCAGTAGCTCATATTGTGTACTTCCACATACACCATAGGAAACGACATCAATGTTCTGCATAAAGGAGAAGCAAGTGTTAACTTAGTTAAGTTCAGACAGATTTTAACTTTCTAATTGTAGTCCAGGCAGAGAAAGCCTCGTACCTTAAAGATATCACTCGCGGCTAAACTGTTGTACCCTCAAACTTCCAACGCTAGTTGGGGAAGGATTATTACTACGCTAGAATGTTTCCATTACCCGAGGTTGTACCTCAAGAGACGAAAATATTAGCAGACGCCGTTTCTGTGTCATATCGACGACACGACTCGAACGCATCTTCACAACCTACGGTCACAATGAGGGATTTGATTGTCAGTCAAACTCAGAACAACACAACAATATTCGTGATGAACTTGAAGAAGAAAACTCTTCAAAGGAGGCCCCACATTGAGTTTCCTAGAGCAGATTCTAGCAGTTATCTCATTGACAACCCACCAAAACCTCTTTATCGCCCTGTTCAAAAACAAAATCAAGAAAAGGAAATTTTGAGTTATTCTTTCAGACAGCAGCAAATGCACATCATTTGGAAAGCATTAAGTACATTCTTCACGGCAGATTTTGAATCACAACAGCTCTTACCAATTACTTTGGCAATGATCCTCTTTCCTAGTTTAACCAGACCTGTTAAAACAGAAAAGGAAACTTCATTAAGTCAATTCCAACAATAATTAAATCATTAATGGATTAATTTTACTTCTAAAACAAGAACCCGACAACTCTACTTCTCCCCAGTCAATTCAGAATTTTCTAAAGTATTATAAGAAGAGGAATTCGAGAACAAGAAAGGGGACACGAAATACACGGCAACACACAGAGATCCCAAATTGAAAAAAAAAAACCTAACATACAGAGCAAAAATCAAAGGGAAAGGAGGAACTTATCTCTTTCTGAATCCACCGCGGAATCGCGACCCAAAACCCTTGCCGGAAGTCTCCGCAAGATCACCTTCAAACTTCTGCGCCGCCGCGCACTTCAACCACCGAGAAAAGCCAACACCGGAAGCTCACTGCGAAATCGTCTAGAAATCGCACCGCGGATACAACGAAACATCATCGCCAATCCAACACCATCCAAACCCTTCGTTTCCGTCGCCGTCTTTACCAAAGCAGGAGAAAAATATCGTCGTCGTCGCCTCCCCAGACTCGCATCCCGATCGCTTCATTGTTCACCAAGGGTAACGTTTTCCTCGACTGATATTTTGATTTCGTAACTGATGATTG